CATTCACGACCAAAAAAAAAAAAAAAATTAGATTTCAAAATCGGTTAAATTCTCGTGTGTGTGTGAGTGTGTGTGTCAAAATATTCCAAAGAATTTCCATGTTTGTATGCTATTACCGTATAGATGAAGAATATGTACAAGAAAAAAAATTCAAATTGAATGCAAAGGAAAAAACATATTCCATATATATAATATCGTTGTTTCATTTTTTTTTCCTCCAAAAAAAAAATTCTTCTTATATATGGCTTTTTTTTGCACTTGATTGCATTAAAATTGTAAATGTTAGAATATACACAGAATATTTGCTCTCTCTCTCTCTCTGTGTGTATGCGTGTGTGTATTAACAATTCATGTGTGCGTTTTTTTCTATATTCTGTAAATGTCACTTAGATTTAATCATATCGGTGATTTCGTAATTGAATACACAGAATTCATTGGTCTATGTTCTAGTCTGTGTATTCACAAGCTGGATAAATTTCGTAACCAGAAAAAAAACAATTACATGGGTTATTTAACCCTATGGCGCCAATTTATGAAATAACAACAACAACAACAAAAGTAAAACAAAACAAAATTCTGTCTCGATGTAATCGAAATCAATTTTTTTTTTTTTTCTTTTAATTATACACGAACATAAGTGATTCGTTTTTGTTGTTGTTGTTGTTTGATATGCATTGTGCAATATAAATTGTCTACAGTCGTTATTAACACTACGAGATAAATGGCGTCTTGTTTTTTTTTGTCTTTTTTTTTTTTTTTTGCTTTTGTCATCCATGTATATGAACAACGATGATGACGACGGCAATGATTGACAACTATGATCATTTATAATCATCATCATCATCATCATTATTATTATTGCACCTAACTATCATCATCATGATCAAAGAAAACGTATAATAAACTTACAATCAAAGAGAAAATAAAAACTAAACAAGAAACAAACCAGATAAACCAGATAAAACTAGTCGATTGTATAATTTTCTATATATGCGTGTGTGTGTGTGTGTGTGTGTGTGTGATATTATAATGGACATATATATGATTATTATGTTTAAAATGAATTCTGGACAATTATGCAGAGCGTTTTTTGTTGTTGTTTAAAAAAAAAATCAAAATTGTTGTGGCCTCTTTTCATAAATACAATTTTAAAATCAATGATGAATCCAATATATTGGACAAATTATGTAATTTCATTTAAATTTTCTTTCTTCTTTCCCATTTTTTTTTTTTTAATTTTCACTGTCTGTTGTTCATTTGTTTCATTTGTTTGATTTTTTTTTTCGTTCTCTTCCGTCTTTGAAACGATTTTTTTTTTTTGCTTGCGAAAAGAAAAGGTTGACCAATACATGAATTGTTTCCACTATAAAACCACCACACACGATGTTTGTCCTTTACTAATAATTTTATTTTGACTTTTTTTTTTTTTTTTTGTTTTGTTTTGTATGGATGTTTTCATCTGTTACATTCAACAATTTGTGATTGTACGTTTTCAGTTCTTTTTTCCAAATGTTTAGATTTCAATGTCAAACTTCCTGTTCCTGTATCATATATATATATGTGTCTATCGTGTGTGTGTGTGTGTGTTTTTATGCACCAAGGAAGCACAAATAAATTGTCTGCTTTGTTGTTCTCATTCGTTCAAACATTTCGTATATACGATCATTGTGTGTTTGTATCAATCTCATTGATATAATCCACTATTTTGTGGTTGAATTGAACTACGATTGAATGGATCGAAATGCATACATGCATGCATGCATGATTACATCATCACCAAAAGAAATTTTTTCTGGATCAAATTAAATATAAAGTTCATTCATATTGAACAACATAAAATGAGAAAAAACTAGTTGAAATAATGTAGCCAAAAAGAAATGTAGGAAGCAAATCTTTTAATGGATAAAACAAACAGACAAATGGTGGAAACAAAAACTTGCATAAGACCTCGACTAAGGTCACAATGACCTTATAGGATTTGAATCGTGTCCATTTTTTTTTCTCTTTTTTTTCTCTCATTTTTTTTTCTCACTTACCACATTACAGAGAGATATACTGTGTTTTTGTATATGTTTGACGACAATATATTGTGTATTCGGACTGTAACAAATTGAATCAAAACATAATACGCAATTGCAGAAAAGTTCAAAACAAAACAAAAAATAAATCAAACGAATTGTCCGAGAGAGATGCAACAATTTTCAAAAAAAAAGAAATTGTTGCGTCGAAATATAAAATAAATGTAGAAATTCATAACATTAACATTTATGACAACTACGACGATGATGATGATGATGATAGCCCAAAATATCTGTTTCCGTATATTTTATTAATGCGATGTTTGAGAATCAAAAAAAAACTACCACAAACAAAAATTGACGCAATATAAAAATTTTGAATAAAAATGACGTTTGTGTCGATTTATATATAATGACGATGATGACGTTTTAATCATTTTGCTACACAATATTGTAGTGTGGATATTTCATTTTGTATATATATTCATATAATGATTTTGGAATCTTTTTTTCCCCAATTCAAATCGTTGTCGTTGTTATTGTCATTCGAAATGCATTTCTTCATGGCAAAAAAAAAATTCATTTTTTCCACCCAACACAATGATAATAGCCGCCATATGAATGCTAAAAATAGATCCGTAAACCCAAAAAAAAAAAAAAAAAAAATTTTTTTGTTGAAAAAGCAAAAATTTTTTTTTTTTTTTTTGCTTGAAATTATGGATTTTGAATAAACAAAAAACAACAACAACAACAACGAAAATTCATGCATCCATTGTATCTCAAGCGTACGACCATTTTTTTCCACTTTTCATATATGTCATTTATTCAACTTGAACATTCCTCATGTGGCCATGGATAATAATAATACAACAGTAGATTGAATTCATTGAATCCATCGATCGATTGATTGATTCAACGATATCTGAAGCGAAACAAAATGGATAAATAAAAAAAAAGGAAATTCAATTATTATTGTTCAAGTTTGAGAAATTGAACTCAGAAATTTGAAATTTGAACAACAAAATTTCAATTTTTTATTACACAGAAAATAAAAATTGGCCATTCTAGAGAATTCTCCAATATTCTTGTTTTCGTTTGAAACTGATCAAAAAAAAAAATTTTTGTTCACAATTACGAAATTTCCAGAATCTAATAATATTGCAAAATAATCAATAAACGAAACGTCGATGGGTGATTAGTTTTTTGTTGTTGTTGTTGTTTTCTTCTTCTTCTTCTTTTCAATTGTTCGACGTAAATAGATAGATTTCAACAATGTAAATCCCATGGATTTTTTTTTCTCTATTCCTTTGAATTGAACATAAAAATCAATTTTATAGAATATAGAATACATGTACCCTATTGTAATGCGTAATTTGAGATAAGCCTGTCTGTTTTGCTATGTAGCAGTAGTGAATTGTGGATCAGTTTTTGGTTATTTCTCTAACCGTCTGTTTGACACAATCGATGATTGTGTTACGAAATCATATCCTGTGTCCACATGATAACGATGATGATGTTGTGGGTGAAATGTTTGGTTTCGAAATTTATTTTTTTTTGTTCTTGTTTTTTAAAGAATTTCTTCTGTTCTTATCATTGTGAAATTGATTTATCAATGATTAGTCAATTGATTAATTATCGATAGTGATTTTATTGTGATTGATTTTTGAATATTTATTAAGAAAAAAAAATGAAACAAAAATAAATTGCTTCATTGAGCATTACGAAATTTTTTTTTTTTTTTTTTTGCAAAATGAATCATTTGACAGCTTTCCTTCCGGCAGATGAAAATGATGATGATTAGTTCATTGATGAAATTATTTATTCATTGATTCATTGGTCCAATGCCATAAACATGACGATTATGTATGGATTCACCGTTTAAGGCGTATATTTATTTGTTTTTGCATTTATTTACCATTACAAAATTACAATATCCGGAAATATAACAACAATCGAAACAATTCCTGACATATTCGTTGCAAATAAAGAGAAAAAAAATCATTGAAATTTGAAACAAAATTGTCGTTGACATTGAATATTTTTGTTCGTTCGTTTTTTTTTGTTTTGTTTTGTTTCTTGTTTTGCAATTTGTATTTTGTTTTTCCTCTCCTTTTTTTCCCTGTTTCTACACATATCCATTCATCAATTCAATTCGTCGTCGTCGTTGTCGTTGTTGTTGTCGTTGTTGTTGTTGTTGTTGTTTGCCATGAAAGAAGTCTGTCGAAACCAATATATATGTAAATGTAAATGAAAAATCGAAAGAATTCAAACTTTCATTCTTTGTCTTTGAAACAAAAATCGATTCCGAAATTCTACGAAACCAGAATATGAGAGACTGATGAATTTTGATATTTTTTTCCTGTCCATATTTCTGTCCACATTAAATTTCATTTTTTTTGTGTGTGTGTGTGTGTGTTTCACAAACTAGATGCAACAAGCTCCAAATAGGACTTTGAACTTTGTTTCTTTCTTTTTTTTTTTTTTTTGTATTTGTGGTATTTATCTATGTGTGTGTGTTTGTATATAATGATTGTAATGATTGCATTTTGTCGGCAATCTATCGTCGCGTTACCAATAATAAACGAGATATATAGAATATAAATGAATGAATGAATGAAAATGAATAAAAAAATTTTTTTTTCAAACAACTAATTTAATGATTTTATTGGTTCAACATTTCTTTCTATCTATTAATTTGTAATCAAATTTACAATTGACAAAGTTGAAATTTTCTACATAACCAGGTTATTGAAAAATTATAAAATTTTTTTTCAAATTCCACCTCTTTAGCTCCATCTATTACATAATATTCGAATGATGATGGTAAAACATTTTTTTTTTTACATTGAGCTCGATTTGAGGGGTTCGTCATCAATGACGTTATTTTGTTTTTTTTTTAATTTTTATCAAACAGATGGCAACACATGGTGATGATGATGATGATTGAACTCACATTGTTTTTTCTTTGAAGATCTGTTGTTTGATTTTGTTTTTTCCAAAAAATTGCAATATTTATGATAATAAAAATGTCTAATGATAATGATAATGAATATTATACTGTTATCCGTGTGAAACGGAAATACATTGAAGATCCAAATTGTCAAGATCGTTATGATTCATCTGTAACGAATAAACGTCTTCGTCATATTGGTTCATTTTCACAGAAACATGATGAAATTAGTTTAAATTCACAGAATTTATTGAAAAAAATGGGCTTCAAAGATCGAAAACGTATTCGATTCAATGATTTTGATGATGATGAACAATTTTCTGCATATATAAATAATTGTCATAAATACGACGACAACGACGATGATGATGGAAAATTTGAATCGAAAAAAAGTAAACAACACAATTGTTGCGAACAAACGATTGATGAAAATGATATTTTAAACATATCATTACCCGCAAACGATTCAGTAGATTTAAATCAATCAGATACTACCAGTAAGATAAATTACTTTCATGTGTGTCTAATTAACTGAAAAATTTATTCTGTATAGGCAATGAAAATGACAACCATTATACAATCACTTGTAATGGTCAGCCAATGATAACGGTAAACAATTCCGTAGCCGATGAATTAATGCTTAGTCGTCAGGATAAATATCTTTATGATTATTATATCCTAATGGATGATTTAATGGAATTTGTTGAACAAGATGATAAAGGTGATTATGATATCGATGGAAATAAAAATAATACCAATGTATATGATGATGAAGAACCATCAAGCAATGATGAAAATTATCGTTATAATGATTATCCAGATGAAGATGGATTCACTGATGATGAAGACAAAGACGATGATGACGACTACGACGACGACGATGATGATGATGATGATGATTATAAAAATGGAAAAAAATTTGATGAATTTGATGAATATGAAGATGAATATCTAGATAGAGTTGATAATCTTTGTGATGATTTCGATAAATTATATCGTCATGATTATGATGGTGATAGCGATACTGATGACGATGATGATGATGATGATGAAGATTATGATCGTGAATATGCTCAAAGGATTATGAATTTACGAAGAAATTGATTATTTGAAAAAAAATTGATCATCATCATTGTAATAAATTATTATTATTCTTGATTTTTATTTTCCTAATTTTTTTTCTCATATTCTTTCTAATGAACTGTAGATACAAAAAATGTGGCAATTCTCTCATGTCATTGATGATGATTTCCATTGTTTTTTTTTATTTACATTTGGATTACATTTTGTTGAAAATAAAAAATTTTTTCCAAATTTGTTTCTTTTAAATGACCAAATGACACGCAAATAATGTGTCGCCACCCAGTATTTTCTTATGAATCATTCATGCATTATAAAGAAAATTTGTCCAATGTGTAGTATATACCAAGCCAAGTTTATTTATAAACGTGGCACATTTTGTCATATCATCGATTTTTTATTCATTCAAACTATCAATTTGATTACTTCGTTGTTTTTTTTTATTGTTAATTTAAAAATTTTTCTGTTCAAATTTAATCTGTCTCATTTCATTCTTGTTCAAGACCTGATCTCATAAACCCATATATATTTTTTTTTATTGTACCTATTCATCAGAAAAATCATCATCATCATCATCGATCGATCAAAATGTCCATCAATAACTATTGCCAGAAAAGAAATCTAAATCAAATCCTCAATGATGATGATGATGATAAGGACATCGAAATTCAATCAACATGTGATAATAATAATAAAAATTATGATTATGATAACGGCCATAATGATGATAATAATATCAATATCGATAATAATGATGGCTGTAACAGTGATAGCTTGACAACAAAACGCCGCCGTCATGATTGTATTAGTACAAATGAATTGATTGAATTGAAAAAACAAAAGACTACCATCATCATGACAATGTCCAATAACAATAATGTTGATGATGATGGTAAGCCATTTGAATTTGAATTTTATATTGATAAAAAAAAAATATTGATTTCTTTTTTTTGACAAATGAAAATGACAAAAAAAAACTTGACTTTTGTACATGCATGTTTTGTTTTATGGTTCTGTTGTTGTTTTCGTTTTTCTTCAATAGAAAACTTTTCAGATATGAAAGCATGCTTCTACACACACACACACAAAATATATATTGGCGTTTTCCCAATTTTTTTTACCATACATTTTTCTGGTACAACATATATTATTCACGTTTAACTAACTAACTAACTAGAAAAAATGATTTGAACAACAGTCATACACACACACACATACACACATAAATTAATGCTGCTGCTTTGATGGCTTTTATTTAGTTAAAACCAATAAAAAAAATTGGTGGTCTCAACATCATCATCATCATCATCATCAACATTGTCGACAACGACGTTTATTTTGTGTGAGAGATAAAAAAGCAAGCACCGGCTTATAATTTTTTGTTGTTCCTTCACATTTTTGATAGCCACAATTGTGCTGCATCTGAAAATCATCTTTTGCTGTCTGTTGTTTCAACGATTTTTTTGATCATATAACTTTGATTTTTTTCCAATAATAATTTTTTACTTCTGATTTTTTTTGGCTTTTTCTTACAACACACTCTTTGGGTAAGTTTGCAATTGTTTTTATTTCTCAATTGTTGATGATTTAAGATTTCTTCGAGCATCATTCTTGATTTTCAGATGCTCGTTCGATTTTTGTATGTTGTGTCAATTATTGAAAATCCATTTAGCCACTAGATAGTTTATAACAGTTGTTTTTTTTTATATATATTCATTTGTCATTGATCAATTTATTTGTATGTATATATTGATTCGATAATCGAACGATTGATTGATTTTTCTGTTCATTCATTCATTTCAATTTTATATTGTTGCTAAGCCATTATATTATTTTTTTTTCTTGTCCATCTAATTGTTAATTGATAAACTTTTTTCTTTGTCTGCATGTTGATCATCATCATTTAGCTAATAGATAATTTTATTATTTGGTAAACGTTCCAGCACAAAAAAAAAACAAAGTCCTTCACTGGTTCACCTTGAAAACGAACACATTGTGTTTTCTTTTGTTTTTGTACGCATTTTGTCTTTTCTTTTCATTAAAAAAAAAAGATGTCATCCAACATGTGTGTGAGCTGTGTTGAGTTGTTGAATTCACTCAGCAAAAGCCATCATTTTTATATTAGTAGCCGTTATATAATTACCACTGTTGTACTAAAGATGGCGCCCAAACTTTGATAATTTCTAAATTGATTTTTTTTTCGTTTTGTTTTTGTTAAAATCTTCGTTTTCTATTTGGCTATCTTAATTGTTGTTTGGTTAGTTCTGATGATGATGATTGTTTGCACACAAACACACACACACACACACACCTGTGTGTGAATCTAGTTTTCTTTTCATCGCTAATTAGGATGCTACTACTATTTTTCATTTTATAGATAGATACCTTGTGTTGTCATAGTCCGCACCTTATTTAGGAATGTCCAAAAAAAAAACCATGATGACTATGTTTATGTGTTTGTGTTTGTATAATGGATAGTGAACGATTCATTTCATAACAGGTTGTTTTTTTTTCTATACATCAGCCTTACTTATATATTAAATGACACACATACACCCACCACCGTGTGCATTTAATATGTGATGACTTGTCAGTGAATTTCGATTTTTTTGTTTGTTTGTTTCACATATTGCCGTTCCGTTTGTGTTCCGTTCACCGTGTTGTGTTCGTTTGATAGAAAAAAATTCCTTTTTTCATCATCATCATCATCATTCAAGTTAATATTAGTCATCAGAATTTTCCAATTCGAATTTTCTTCATTTTATCACTTCAATCATCAATTTGTCATTTACCTTTTCTTTCAAATTGTCTGCCAGTGTGTGTGTGTGTGTGTGTGTGTGTGTGGGTTAACAATTATATCTTACCGATCTACATCTTTATCTGCCATAATTATCATTACATCATCATTATATAATAGCCAAACAAACCCTTTTTTTGTTGCTTAATTTGTAGACTTTAAATTTCCAGCCAATTATGTCATTCTTCAACAAGGCATTCAAACCTAAACGAAGTAGGAATGAATTTTTTTTCATTGTATAATCTAGAAGGCTTGTCCAAATGTGTCTATGTGATCTTGTGATTAATCTTCATCCATTTTCTTTTAACTTTTTCCTTTGATCATTAATAATATCGTTTATCTGTGTATTTTTTTTTTCTTCTAATTCATTCATCTAAACAGAAACTTTTAGTTTTCGAATTCAACCGGAATCTGCTTCACAAATTTCGAGTTAGTTTTCATTTCTAATCATATTTTCCAATTTGTGCCATTTTTTTCATCTTTTTATTATCATTCGAATGATCTTTTTTCCTGAGAATTAATATTTAATAATTTTTTTGTTGTTGTTGTTGTAAACACCCACAGTAACTCATCCCGAAGGACGCGAAATGGCCGAATATAATTATCCACGAATTCAGAAACCTGCTCCCCAATTCAAAGGTGCTGCCGTTGTTGGTGGCCAATTCAAAGAAATTAGCTTGTCAGATTATAAAGGCAAATATGTTGTGCTATTTTTCTATCCAATGGATTTGTAAGTTGTTTCATATTAATCTTTTGTCTGAAAAATAATGATTGTCTAATTTTTGTTTTTTGTTTTTTCGTTAATCATATGATTATATAATAACATAACAGTACTTTTGTATGTCCAACGGAAATTATTGCATTCAGTGAACGTGCCGATGAATTCCGTAAAATGAACTGTGAAGTAATCGCTTGTTCAACTGATAGTAAATTCTCTCATTTGGCATGGATCAATACACCACGTAAAGAAGGCGGACTTGGTGAAATGAACATCCCATTGTTGGCTGATAAAAATGCTAAGATTAGCCAGGATTATGGTGTTTATCTTGATGATGGTGTACCATTGCGTGGCCTATTTATCATTGATGATAAACAAATTTTACGTCAGATCACTATCAATGATTTGCCAGTTGGACGTAGCGTAGATGAAACCATTCGATTGGTACAAGCTTTTCAATACACTGATGTACATGGTGAAGTTTGTCCAGTTAATTGGAAACCAGGTGCTGATACTATTAAACCGGCACCAGATAAGAGTAAAGAATATTTCAGCAAAAATAATTGAAATATGGCCACATCAAGTTTCACCGTCTTGATGTTAAGAATGATGTGTTGTAAATCGGTCCAAATCAATCCTAAATCTACCAATAATGATGAAAAACATTAAAAATGATTAGAACAGAACATATATAGATAAATCTAAAGCTCGAAAAAAATTTCACAGTAAACCAGAATAATCATTGAAAGAAAATAATCTCTTTTTCAAAATTATCTTTATTCATAATAATATCCATATATCCATAATGATTGATAATAATTAAAACATTGAAAATATTTTTGAAACAAAATCTTCTTGTTTACATTGCTTAAATTTTGTGAATTACATTGATATATTTTGGTGAAATTCAATCGTTATTGGTTTTTCCCAGTAATTCACCAATATGGCAACGATGATGATCATGTTGTTGTTATTATGTTTTTACGATGGTAATGATGATAATGAGTATATTATTTTGTGGTTATATATGATGGCGATATCTAGTTTCAAGAATTTCAACCAATACTTGCACGAAAATAATTTCGTTCATCATTTGGTTTATTATTATAATAGAATGTATTGGCCGGTTTTGCAAATGTAATATCCACTGGTCCTAAGCAAATTTTCGGTTCCGAAAAGAATAAACATGCTTTACGTGGTGACATACGATGACGTTTGATTAATTGACAGCAAAGACCGTGGCTAGCATCGCATTCACTACTTGTTGTACATTCAGCATCTATATTTATTTATTTATTTTAGTGATAATAAGAAAAAAAAATCGAATGAGAAAAATTCGTTCAAATTTGGATTCAAAATAAAGAGAAAAAAACATATTTAATTGACAGTAATAAATGTAACGACAACAACAACAAACTACAACGTAATGATGACGAATGTTTGAAAAAAAACAAGATCATCATTATCATCGTCAATACTAAATAATTGATGTGACAATTTCATACTGAAATTCATCATCATCATCATCAATATGATCCATGTGTGTGTGTCTGGATTCTTTGGAATTGGTAATTTTGTATTCAGGTCGATGGATGATGACAACCCCTAAGATGAGATTATACATTATTCATCATTTACCGTTTATTTTCTATTTCTATTTTTTCTTGTGGATCAAAATCGATTCGATACATACGATATATATGACATAGGATACTACTAATCAGGAACCGGGCTTTTTTTGGTAATTTTAGTGTTCATCTGTGTGTGTGTTTTTCCATTTCAGATACGTAATGAATTTGAAATTTTCTTTTTTATCATATAGCTTGTTACAGATTCCGTTTCCGATTTCAGAGAGAGAGAGAGAGAGACATGAATAAATTTTTTTTTGAAATGAAAAAAAAAATTGTAAAATACATCATTACATGATTACATACAATCAAAATTTAATGGGAAAAAATTGCAATTCAAAAGAGAAAAAAAATTCCTTGATGCAATGCATCTAATAGAAGCAGCAACATATTTCCTGATTGAATCGAAATCGAATGCTAAAGAATCGATCGGAAGTTAGCGAATGATTCATTCAACATACACACACACACACACACACACACATCAGGAAGAACAGTCAATTCTAATCATCAAGTCAAAAAAAATTTTTTTTCTCTCTAATGATAATAATGACAAGCTAAAAATGAACAAACAATTGACGATCCCAAACACACAACAATTGACAATTGACAATTGTAATGAAAATTTCAACAGGATGTGTATATAAATGAAAAGTGAAAAAATTTTTTTTGCCGATTTATAATCACAAAAACGATGATGATCATGATTTGACTTGAGTGATGATAATGATATGCATTTGCAAAAATTCGTAAATATTCCAAGTTGGAATAAAAAAAAAATGCCAAATTTTACATTTCATTCATTTTAGTTGAGTTAAAATCTATTTTCCATCTTGGATTTTTTTTGCAATGAAGCGAAACAAAACAAAAAGCAAAAAAAAAGACAAACAGACAGACAAGATATAAAAAATTTAAACCAAACCATAAACTTGAACAAACTTGAAACATGATATTCTTGAAACTGTAGAGATTCAATTTTCATAAGCAAAGAAAAAAATGGAAAAAAGAATTTTCATTTTTCACATTTACAACTGAACTTATGAATACGAATGTAAAGTTTTTTTTTTTTTTGGTGGGAGAGTGGGGGTGGAGAAGGTGGAATACAACGGACATTGTAGATCACTGTTTCATCATCACCTCATATATTTAAGATGATGATGTTGTTTTATATTTACGATGAATAAAAAAAAGATACAAACAACACACCGTCATCATCATCATCATCATCATCGTTAGCCAAGCAACAAGATATGTGTCTAAATCGATTATTCAAATTTTTTTACTTTGAAAAAAATGATCTCATTTTTTTTCGTTCTCTTTTTCTTGAATAACTTTTTCTTCACACTTTTATTATACAGAAAAAAAACTTGACAGAAACATGGTTGTGAATGAGAATGAAAATGAAAAGAAAAAAAAATTTTTTACATCAAGGTTCATATATATATCAGTCCATATGCAGTCCATCCAACAAAAGTCCACGTTGAGAAAAATGAGAAGTATATTGAAAGGTTGTGATCCAACTTATTCTCATGAGAGTAAACATTGTCGAAATCAACAACAAGAATGAGATGGAAAAAAAGTGAATTTTCAAAGTTCAAAACATAACTTGTAAACGGCGTCCAATTGCTACATGGAAATATCGATTCATGGAGTGCCTCGATCTGTTAAAACTCCGATTGTATCAATGTGAATGTATTCAAATGGATTCCGTGCTGGACCAATCTGAGAGAAAGTTTGCCCAGTTTCACTTTGGTACTTTTTAAAAGCGAAGACAAGTCGAACAATTATGTACAGCTTCATGTATAATTTCATTTTGATTTGGTGTATGGATGAATTCTCAGAAGGCTGTAATGCTGTTTGTTTTGACTAATATGACCTTGAATTTTATGAAAATATTCAACCATTATTTTGCAAAGATTCAGGGATCATAATATCTTCTTCGACCATTGGTATAACGAACATAAAAGTCCATTATATGATAACACAATTTGGAGTAGAAGTAGAAACAAATCCTTTTGTATTTCTGAGGATTTGTTCTAGTGTTAGAAGATTGATTTGAAATTTTGGATCGCGTGATAAACAATCAGCTTCGGATGTTTTCTTTTCCTGCAATATATTCGATTTTATAGTTATATTTGACCTACATTTTAATGCCCAATTCATTTATTCTTGTATTTGGATTTCTGTGTGAGATTGATAAATTTCAAAGGTTTATGATCTACTCGGATTATAAATTCATATTTCCATACAAATAATGATGCCAATGTTGTAAAGCTTCACAATTACAACACTTTTTCAGTTATTGAATAATTTTCTTGATAAGGATGTAACTTTTTCGAAAATATCCACTGTTACCATAGTGTTATCTTCTATCTAGTTCAGTTTCTTTTGTTTCAACACAGCCCTATTCCAATATTCGATGCGTCTGTTATCAAGATGGTACATTTTGTATAATCAAAGATATGTAATACCAAACGAGAAGATAGTATTTCTATCACTTCTTAAAAGCAGAATCCGTTTCCATCTGACCATACAAACTTTCATTTTTCGTTAATAATTTGTACAATGGAGCTAATAATTCCGTTCTATTTAAATAAATCTTTGATAGAAATTCAATTTTTCCAATGAATCTTCGTAAACTTTTTAGATTATTTGGTGCTTTCATAGTTAATATGGATTGAGTGTTACTATATAAAAAATTTTTACATCAAGGTTCATATATATATCAGTCCATATGCAGTCCATCCAACAAAAGTCCACGTTGAGAAAAATGAGAAGTATATTGAAAGGTTGTGATCCAACTTATTCTCATGAGAGTAAACATTGTCGAAATCAACAACAAGAATGAGATGGAAAAAAAGTGAATTTTCAAAGTGAAGTTTTTTTTTTTTTTTTTTTTTGCTATCAACATTTTTCTCACACACACACACATCGGTATTTGTTTCACAGTTTTACAGAATGAAATTCGCTGATTATGATTATTCATCACTAGGATCATTTTCAAATTAAGAGTTGACTATCGTAATTATACACATATATCGGTCCATGGTATATATATATTGATCGGTTAAATTCGAAAAAAAAATCTGACTGACAGAAAATCGAACAATAGCATAGCGGTTATTATTATTATCATCGAAAGTCAATGTTTGAAGTGAATGAAAAAAAACTATTATCATACAATCAAACGACAACAACAACGACATCATGTTATGACGTTAAATCCATTTGAGCGATCGTTTTTTTTTGTTCTTTCTACTTTGAATAAATGAATGAATACAATGAGATTGATCAATTCATTTTCATTCGTCTTTCATTTTCTCGATTCTGATCTGGTCATGTTAGGTTGGATATTGGTCATTTTCTTGATTCTGAACTGGTCGTGTTAGGTTGGATATTGTCCGGAGCATTCGAAATAATCAGACTAGACAGCGGTGAATTACGAGTTTTACTAGAAGATGATGACAATGGTGATGTTGAAGCCGGATTTTTTATATTGGATTTTTTGATAAAATCCTGTGATCGCTTTGGCATGGCGCTCCATCTTCCTGGAAAAGGTAGTTCCTTTTCGTTACTTTATTTCTTCTATTACGGAAGATGGGCAATAGCGTCGTTTCCAATGTATTAATATATTCTTCGCTATTCATGCTATTGGAGCAGAGTCTCAGCTCTGATCTCCCACCATGCCTATTTTCAAGGAATATTGATGTTTATTATTATTATTAAATCAGGTCGAAAAAATCTTACCATATAGCCCCCCAAACCATCACGCTGAAACCGTTGTGTTTCACGGTGGCTTGTAGCCTCTTGGCTTGGTAAGCCTGGTTTTTCTTACGATATACGTAAGTTCGGTAAGCGTCATTGAATTGCGAAAACCGGCACTCATCGGAGAAAATCACTTTTCTCCAATAGTCCGTGGACATCTCAACCATCTTATTTGCCCATAGTCGGCGTTTGTTTTTGTTTTTTTTAGATAGCAGTGGCTTTCTTCGGGCAATTCTGGCCCCATATTCCAACATCGGAATGTATTTCCGAACGGTGTTTGCGGAAACATCCATGTGGCTCGCCAATTCTTCGCTTACTGTGGCTGGAGTTCTTTCGATTTGACGACCTAGTCGTCTCAGTGTCCGTTCTGACGGTCCAGGACGACCTGGTGGCTTGATCGCGTTTGTCTGGTTATTTTGATGGTATGTTTTAATGATATGATGAACGTTTGATTTGCTGGTCTTTTCTATTAGAATTTGCAAGAGGCTTGAAAGTATATGATTCAATAATAATAATGGATTCAATAGTTTGGCTTTAAACGGTTTTTAATAATAATAAATAACTGCTAATCATGCTTAATTTATAGAACTTATTCACTATTGAACGTACTAATCAAATACGCTCAACAGTGACATTAATCAGTAATTCAATCTTTCTTACAACAATTCCAACAGTTTCGATTGCTTAACCAGTCTTTATAATATTGTATGACAATTCTGCGCAAAACGGTTTTTTCAATTTGTTTATTCATGATTTTTTAATATCAAAATTGTAATGGATTAATCAATGAATAAACGATAGTAAATAATAATGATGATAACGGTAATGGATGAATGAATTAATCAAAGAAAATGTTTTTAAAATGTTTAATCACGTTTAACAATATCAACACGACAACTAACATTCGATGGCTAAACCATCGAATTTTTCAAATAACATGTTGAAAACAAATTTACCATTCAATTCGAAAATAGAATTACTAACCAAATTTCGAACTGGTGGTGTTAGTTTTGAAATTTGTCATTTTCTCGATTCTGAACTGGTCGTGTTAGTTTGGACTTGTCATTTTCTCGATTTTGAATTTTGAATTCTTACTTTACAACAAAAAATGGCACAAAATAAACCATATATTTTATTTAGGTCTTAAAACAAGATTTAAAACAAATGCAAAATTGTCAAAATTGATGTTAAGTATGATTGCACGACATTCGAAAATTGGTATCTATACATTTTTGCTAATCTCAGGGATTTATTAATCTGCAAGATGGCAGTACAGTCGAGAGGGGTGAAAATTTCCCCTACATAAACTTTGACACCACACATCTACTCTCGAAAATGGTAGCCGGAAGTTGAAACTCAGATTATTCAAAGAGCAACTCTTTCACTATGCACTGGTAAAATATTTTCGCTTGATTCCGACAAAAAACATTGTTTTAGAAGCTTTGAAAAAACCCTCTCTCTCCCATAGGCCGTAATGCTTTTTTCGAAAGTGCCCAATTACTTACTGGTACCGTGTGTATATTGATCGGTTAAATTCGAAAAAAAAAATCTGACTGACAGAAAATCGAACAATAGCATAGCGGTTATTATTATTATCATCGAAAGTCAATGAAAAGAAAAATCAGTTTTTTTTTAGTTCCATGCCAAGCCATAAAAAAAGTGTCAAACGTGTGTGTGTGTGCATTGAACATTTACATGGTATGCATGGCATGCATGATTTGACAGATTGATTTTCTCTCTTTTTCTCTTGGATCAAAAATTAATTTTCCTTTCTCCACTTTATTTTCAATTATTAACCAACAATTTTTTTTTTTTTTGCTTTTCATTCGTGTGTCCATGTTTTTTTTAAGCCGATGATTTGAAGTGAATGAACAAAAAAAACTATTATCATACAATCAAACGACAACAACAACAACAACGACATCATGTTATGGCGTTAAATCCATTTGAGCGATCGTTTTTGTTCTTTCTACTTTGAATAAATGAATGCAATGAGATTGATCAATTCTACCAAAAAAAAAGAATGGCCCCAGTACTATAGTTGATAATAATAATAATAATAATGATGACGCGCCCGTTAATGTCATGTATTAGAATTATTCTTTCCACTTGTATACTTATCATCATCATATAATAATACGATAAAAGAATTTGCTTACACGTAACCACCAAGAATGACACACACAAAGAGGGTGAACGAAAAAAAAAATTGTCAGTCAAATCAGTCAAGAAGATTTAATCTAGAGAGTCACCAAGAAGAAGAAGAAAAAAAAAATTGAAATCTTTTTCGAATCAAGAAACGCAAAAAAAAAATTGCAAGTATATTAATGCAAATTAATAGGCTCGTTTCAGCTTCCCGTGAACACAGTCAGTCAGTCATCCATCGTTTTTGACAACACTCCCAGAATAAATCGTATGGCTCACACACACCATTGATTTATCCATGCAAATTTTTATTTCACTGAATTTGATCATTGTATACTTGACACGCAAATGATCCAAATGTGGGCGTCACTTTTATTTTTTTTTTTCATTTTTTCATTGATGGTGAAGTGAAGAGAGAGAAAAATATTGAAAATTCCTCTCCAAGTTGAATGGAAAATAAAAAAAAATTGATTCACAGAATCATCTAACCAGCACTCAATCACTCAATTTTTTTTTTTTTTGGAAACATATTATTCATAGCAATAATAATAAACTTTCTATATAAATGGCTGGACATGGTGTTCATATTCAGTGAACGTAAATCATTATGATATAGTTCAATATTGTGTGATTCTTATCAATGAATGATGAAAGTGAATAAAAAAAAATATTCTATGTCTTTCATTCATATTAACCAACCATACATCAAATTTATTGGTATTGGTTATTGGCACAATTAACTTGTCAATTGAATAATTTATATAATATGATTGTATTATGAATATGAATCACTTACTGAATTGTTTTTTCATCATTTCCAATCCAGGTGGTTGACAAGTTCGTTGATGTTGTTGTTGATTTTGTAATTGATGTAAATGTTGTTGATGTGAATTGATCATTGATGATGATGATGATTGTAATGAAGATGATGACAATGATGATGATGATGATGATGATGATGATGATAATGAATGCATTGATGGTAATGATAATCGGCCATCATTATCATCATCATTAGTTATTAAAATTGTTTGTGGCATACAACGTAAACCAGTTTCACAATCACCATCATCTGTACATGAATCGCCTTCATTTACACCATAAATCGGTAAACATGTACCGGTGGTCACTATTGAAATGAAAAAAAAAAAACAAATGAGAGATTGAGATAGATAACAAAAAAAAAAAGAAAATTATTGGCCAAAAGTTTGTTTCATTAGTATCATTCATTCATTTTATTTAGCTCGGCCATTTGTTCAATAATTAATTAACGTAATGAATTGGTTTAGTAATAATAAATCCTGTGTGAAATATATATATAAATTATAATGTGCGAACATATCTTGAAATGTTAAAACAAAAATTCAATACATTAATCATCATCATCATCATCATTCGATATTCGATGACTTTGGATCAATAATTTTTTTTTTACACTGAAAAAAAACCATTTTTTCTCGCTTCGTTGATCGTATCGTGAACATTTTTTTTTCTTTACTTTAACCTTGTTATTATTACCATTTAGCAATTTATCTCTTTTTTTCTGTCTCTCTCTCTCCCTCAGTTAGATATCCAATGTGTGTGTGTGTGTGTATTGTACATGTGTATGTGTTCAATTTGTTGATTAATGGGCCCTAGAATAAATAACAAATGTATATATATCTGTCTATGGTGATATGATGAAACTAAGAAATGGTTTGACACAAGAATCGAATCATTTTTTTGTTTTGTATCGATGAAACAAAAAAAAATTTGCCCTATATTCTGCTATTCTATATCTAGCCCAAAACACTTGTGTCGATTTTATTGCACATAATTTAGCTAATTTTGTTTGAATTTTTTTTTTCGTTTCTTTTTTTTTGGCACCTCAAATTCTGGTACTGGTTTATGATTGAGAAAAAAAAAAGAAAAAGACCCGAAACCACACGATGATGATGATGTGGAAAGCAAATTTGTAATCAAAGAATCATAATGATCACGACAAGATGTTGTTGTCGGGTTGTGTTCGTGAGTTTCCGGAACATAAATTCTTGAAAATCATGTCACACACACACACACACACAGAGAGAGAGAGAGAAATGATTAGAACGGAACATCATTGATGATGATGATGATGATGGGAACTATGGATCCCAATCTTCATGAAATGAATGACGTTAATGAAATGTAAATGAGTTTTTTGGTATACTCTCTTATTACGTGAGAAAATGGAACGATAGAAAGACACTTTTAGGAAATGTCTATGTGATTGGTTGTATTACACACACACACACACACATACGTTAGTAGTTAGTAGTATGTTAGCAGTAATTAACTTGTAAATACATTTAGTTCTCTAAACTTGAAAATCTGCCATTTGAACAAATTCTTTTTGCATCAGTATTACTGTTAGTAATAATTTGTTCTTTTAACAATGATTATAATATATGGAATGGATATATATAGGAAAAAAAATTGAAGCAAATTAAAAGATGAAATGACAGACTTGATTGGCAACTAGATAGACAGGATAGATAAATAGATCTTTATACACACACACACACACACACACACACACAAAGATATATTTATTTTCGATAAATAATTTGTTCATTCACATTTGTCATTGTGTTTATTTTCCCTTCTCATTTCATTCGAATTTTTCTTCTTTTTTTTTTTTTGCTCGTCAAGCCAATTTGAACAATGATTTATCTAATTTAGGTTATACCAGATCCAGAGAGATATGTCCCCCATGGATCTGGAAACTTTCTCACCTAACAATGATGAAAAAAAAATTTTTTACCCTCCGTTAAAACGGTATTATTACGCGAGTTTTCCCAAAAAAAAATTTTTTTTTTGTCTCCTTGGCCGATCTGGCAACCCTTAATCTAATTTATTTGCCCGAATAAAAAATTGCTAGATCAAGGATGAATTTGTAACGATGATCATGATGATGATCATCAAGTTTTTTTTCTTCTTCTTTTTTGGTTTTGCTTGTCATCTTATACGATCAAATTCGGTTTTCATCTATGATGATTCTATTCATGTGATGTGATTCTCTCATTTTCAAGTTTTCACGTTTTCTTAAGAATGATGATAGTGGATGAAAGATGAAGATAAAGTATCATTTTCAAAACAAAATTTATTATAGAATTTTTTCGCTCTCTTTGTTTGAAACTTGTCAAAAAAAAATGGTTGTGGGTGTGTGAGAGAGAGAGAGAAACCCTCAAATGATGATAATCATATCAAAAAGTCATTTTTTTTCGTTGAAAATAATTTGCAAACAATCCATTTTACAATGTAGTGTTGATTTTTTTTTGTTCATTCATTCATCGATTCATGATCGTTATCATCGAATGATCATTACAGAATTGATTCTTCGTTGTTGATTTACGACAGAATTTTTTTTTTTTTTTTTTTGGATGGCAAAATGAAAATTCATGTAATTCGTGTTTTTTTTTCCACCACCAACAACGATTTTCAGAATAAAAAACCGATTATTGAATTATGATGATGATGATGATGATGATGATTCGACCAAGTGAAAAAAGGGTACCATTTTCATGGCTCAAAATTTTCAAAAATGAAATGAAATTTGATTTGGTTTTTTCTTTCATCTCTATCAATATGAATAACGATGTTAATTTTCAATTTTCAATTCATTTTCATTTTTTTTTCTTTTTTTCTCATTTATGATTATTCCATGATCATGATGATGATCATTGTCGTCATCATCGTCATTATTTGGTTCATTCAATTTTTCAATTCTATGATTTGATTGAATAAAATCTTGTTTCATTCATAATTGAAAATAAAAAAAAATGAAATTTAATTCAATTTTTTTTCGGGGTTTAATTTCAATTCAATTCAATTCAATTTTTTTTCCAATGTTATGATTAGAATTTGGGCAAAAAAATTCTTGTGCTAGTAGTTTTGTTGAGAGAGATTTACTCTGGTCCTTTTTCTAGTTTTTTTTTATTTAATTTTTTTTCTCGTTGAAAGTTGATTATTTTATTGTTATTTGTCGGGCCGCTTCGGGACTTGTTAGCGTTGTTGCCATTTTTTTTCCTCTTGATTTTTAAATGAATTTATTCAAAATAATTGCGTGTGTATGTGTGTGTGTGTGTGTGTGTGTGTTTGTTTTTTATTTCACCAAACGATGTTTATACTTCTCTCTTTCATCATTCTCCATAGAAAGCCACCAGAGAAACAAAATGGTGATCTATTTATCTTGACAGATCAGCATATATTCGTTGTGTAATTAAAAAAAAAAATTTTTGTCTGTTTTGAATCAAAAAAAAAAAGTTGAGACAAATAAATGGAAAAGAATCCTGTGAACTAATGAGTATGACCATTAATTATTAGTACAGAATGCCAAAACAAAACGAAAAATGCTCATCAGCATCCTGATGATGATAATGATGATGATGATGATGGTCCATCATGTATGTTCAGTCAAGCATCAATTTATATATACACACACACACAGTGATTTAACTGTAAACAAACGAATTGTCCATGCTTGGGTGATTACAACAAAAAAAAAGAAGAGAAAATTAGGTAAAGAAAAAAAAAGGTAAAAAATTTGCCAGTGCCTGTGTGTCGACAATTCTCATAAATACAAATTGGCCCATTTACGTATTGAAACAACAACCAGAAAATTGAAAACAAAAACCCAAAAAACAAATTCCAAACTCAATTTCCGTTGAGTTCATTGAGAAAAAAAAATACTGATTGTTTTTATTTGCTATGTGTTCACTGGTTATATATTCTGGTGGCTAAGAATTTTTTTTTTACACATCACTAGATTCTTATTGGAAAATTTACTTGTTTCATGTTTTAGTTATAATTTAATGTATTTATTATTGTCTTTAGTTGGAATATTCTGCATTCATGAATCGTTATTATTATTCTATTTATCATTCGATACCCTGAAGCAAATAATTTATATATATTCAGAACCTTCAGATCTTTTTTTTTGTCAGAACAAGAATCAAGAAACCATATCAATGATTATAATCATCTGATGATCATGATAATCATAATAATGTTCTCAGAATCTTAACCAGATCAAAGATTCTCATCATCATCATCATCATCATCAATTTAAAGATCCATGAAAATAAAAAAAAAAAAAATTCCAACATTCTTTTTTTAACAAGAATTGTTTCGAAAAAATGACGAAATTGCCAAGGTTTTGTTGTTGCTAAAGTAACGATACGCAAATTACATTATGCGGAATTAGATGAATTTTATTGTAAAAAAAATTCTACAGCATATCAACGGATCCATCTATATATATGAGATATAAATTAGATTTGTTTCCATTTCATTCATTGAATGCGTAACTAAGAATATTCAAATGAATATATAGCTAATGAGAAACTACCAGATGCCAATTTCCGAATCGAATTTCGATTCAAACATGGATATGGTCATCCTATATTAAAATGATTCGAACAATTGGGTATACATGTGTGGTCAATTTGGATGGTTTCAATGGAAAATTTTTTTTATCGTCGTTGTCTAATTGAATTAATATATTGTGTTCGGTGTGATGAAATTTTTTCCTATACTACACATACTACACATATAATCTGTTTGGAATGAATAAAATGATTTGGTTTCAATTTGAATGAATGAAAACAACAAACTGCATAAACTTACCTGGTCTTTGTTTATTATTCATCGATGATGATAATGATAATGGTGATTGTGAATGTTGTGAATGTAGATCAACACATACAGAACCCGGGCAGCATTGTTGTTGTTGGACGCATGGTTTTTGTATACATTTTTCTTCACCTTGTGAAAGGATATCTTCTAATTGCATATCTCGGCTCTAAATAAAAAAAGAGAGAGAGAGAGAAAGAGAATGGAAAAAACAAGATTAAGATCAGCGGCAAAAAAAAAATTTTAATCGGATATACATCCGTACAAATAAATACACAGAATCAACTCAGCAAAGTTTTCACTGGTTCTGTGTGTGTGTGTGTGTGTGTTTCATGAATGAAAACCAATTTGTTCAATTAATTTTGGATTAAGAATCGTATTACACAATGATCTATTTTCATTGATGATCAACTTTTTTTCTCTCTGTGTGTGTAGAGAGAATAAAATAAAAAAATAACAACCTCGATTCTGACCTTATTATTTTATTTTGTTTTTCATTTGGTTTCCTAGGTTTTTCCAATGATGATGATGATGATAATGATGATCATTCACTATAGTTGAACTCACAATTATAACTTACAATACAAGTGCACTTATTTATTTTGTTGATTTAATTTTACAAAGTTTGATAAATTATAGGCAATTTTTTTTTCTTGGTTGTCGTTCATTCGATTGTTTATATATGGAAATTGAAATAAAAAACGATCCACCTACACATTTCACCTTGAGCCATTCGATTTTTTTTTTTTTTTTTTTGCAGCAGAAGATTAAGAAATTTTCGGTTGATTTAATTAAATTTCATTTTATCAAGATGTAAGCTATTTTTTGTGATAAAGTAAGAAAAACGATATACATCTGTTTCCAAAGAAATTTGTTTCTGTTTGTAAATTCTGAAGAATGTTTCGGAAGTGGCGAAGGTGGAGCGAAGTAAAAAAAACAAAAAACAAATAGTTAATCCAACTAAAACTGATGATGATGATGATGAGTAAATGGCCAAATGGTCGAGAAATTTCTTTTCATTTTGAGTGCGAATAAATTCTTGTTTTTTTTTCTGTTCTTTTCACTTGACACTTGTGCTATTTATTGCATGTCAATGAATGAATTCATGAATGTTTTCTTGAAATTGATTATATCTTGAGATATGGGTGTTTTTTTTTCATTTTCGATTGAAGACATTGACATGAAAAACCGAAATTATATTGCCAAAAAAAAAAAAAAAAAATATACAAAAAAAGCGAATTCGACTTGTTTGAAAATAGTTTGAACATTCGATGATGTGCGTGCGCGCATATACGATCTTTATGAATGGAACTTTTTTTTTTTTTGTGTTTTTTTTTATTCGATGCATGTAAACAAACGCGTCAGCTTTGAATATAAAGCCTAAAAGTTGGATTTGTTATTTCATCATACTCTGTGTTTTTGTTGAAGTTTCTATTATTGATTAAATTGATTTCAAATTTACATTTTCAATCATCATGGTGTATATAAATTCACGTGGCGAAATTGTTGACCACGAACCAATTACATGGAAAACACCATTCAAATTTCTATTACGATTCATTTGGTTTTTCATCAATTTTTTTCTAACTTTATTCGGTATGAGTGATCGTTCGGATTCGATGAAAAGATATTTTCTTGGCAGTAGTGGATATTCGAGTGGCGGAGTGGCGGTGGCGGTAATGATTATCCTGGAGGTGGTGGCGGCGGCGGTGGTGGTGGTGGTTTCGGTGGACGTCCCCGACGAATAGCAACATTACCTCGTAATAGTCCAATTGGAATGTCAACTTGTCCGGGTGGATCTTGTGGACGTTAATATGACAATGATGATCAATTTCAATTCAATTTGACCAATATTATCATTCTATTTTTTCATATTTATTTTATGGTTATATTATATTATAATTTTCAATGTTTTCTGTTCTGTTAACCCGATAATAATAGATTGAAATGTCAAAAAATTTTCATAATTTAACAATTGAATTCATAAATAATTAATTCAATTCAATTCAATTGTTTGATTTTCAATACTGTCTTTGTCAGATGAATTTCTGTTTATTCTGCATATATGATGATGCACAATGAACAGAAACCAATATTGGCCAAAAGGGTTTCCATCATTGTTAGATTCTTGGTGTGCATGTTTGGCATTTTATTATTTACATTGTATTGTATACAAGAATTTGCATTATTCATTATTGGATTGCCATGAGCATTGTACACTGTGTTTGTTGTGTGTGTGTGTGTGTATTGATAATTTATACAACATAGACAGGATTTCCCGAATGGTCAAAGTCAATTTATCGGATATTCCATATGTATATTACACACATGTAATATAGAATCCAAACCAAGAATGGTTAGTGATATGAGGTGGTGGTAAAAAATTTTCGGTTTACATGAACGTTTTTTTTTTTTCTTTGTTTCATTAAAAAAAATCTCTTTTCATTCACTTTCGAAACAAAAAAAAATCTGAATAAAAATTCTATCCAGTCAAACGCGTTTGCACTTTACACCGGAACATGGAATGCATCAAAAAACAATTTACAAATATTGGGAAATTTTTTTGTTTTGTTTTTGAATGGTCAGCTAGTTAAAATGAATTCAAATGAAAATGGACATTGATGGAAAATGAGATTTCACAACAAACCAGAAAGAAAACTATTTACCAAACGAAAAACAAGTGGATGAATATTGGGTGTGGAAATTGTATCCAACATTCCTGGCTTGCTTTGCCCTTGTTTTCCCTCTGACAATGGGCAACAACCAAAAAAAAAAAAAAAAATCAATTTCCCCACGAAAATATTCGATCAAAAATTATTTCAATTTATATATATAGGATATATAAGAGTGTTGATATATCAGGCAATAAGAATGCGAAAATTCGATTCGATCCATTGCCTATTCTGGATATTCAATTGCTGTTGCTGTTGCTGTTGTTGTTTACTTAATAATTGGTTCCTGTTTACATGTATATAACATTTATGTCAAATTGGTCCTGTTTACTTATATTTTTTTTCTCTTCAATATTCTGTTTTTGTTGTTGTTTTATCAACACCAAATACAAACACGAAACGAATAGCCATCCAAGAATAACCAAACATACACACACACACACAAACGAAAAAAAAACTGGAACAATCAACGAATAATTCCATGAATTGACATATCTTATTATTTGATCTTGATTATTATTATTATTATCATTATTATTGTTATTAGAACCAAGACGACAATAACAACAACAACAACAAAAAACGAGACGACATTTTTATTATCATTATTATTATTATTATTTGTATTCAATCGAATATATAGACAATCATAGTAAATTTTGGGTTATTTTACGAATATTCCTCTGTTTCGTGAATTCGTTATCATCATCATCATCATCATCATCAATGATCACTTCGTTTCAGTTTGCATTAGAATCTAGAATTGTAATGGAAAAACAATATTACTAGCTACAACAACAACAACAACTATGCAAAGATGAAAATTATGTCATATGTGGGTGGATGAGTATTTACCGAATTTTTTTTTGTTCCTATAGCTCAATACAATTCTGTATGGTACATTGAATTTGCATTTAGGAATTTAGAATTAGGAATTTTTTTTTTCACTCGGTTGAAATTCGAATCGGTCAGTGTTTTTTTTTTCCTAGTTCATCATTCGTGATTTCATTTTTTGTTGTTGTTGTTGTTGTCGCTGCTATACGAATCCTAATTAGCTGTCGGAAATGGCAGTTCTTGCTGCTTTTGTTGTTGATTTGATTTTGAATCACGGAATTTTTTTTTGTGTGTGTGTGTGTGTGTGCTGAGAAAAAAACTAACTAACAAGAACAAGATTCTTTCTCTTGTGTTTGTTAATTGTATGTTCGTGTACATTTTGGGTGTTTGTAATTTTTTTTTCTCATCCAATTGTTTGGTTCATTTATCAATCGTTGTGATGTGTTTTGCAGGATGTATTTACTTTTACCAGTTTTGTTTGTATTTGTTTGTTTGCTTGCTTGCTCGACGTGCCTGATGATACCATTTTTGCAGTTTGAATTCAAATTCTACAACAAAAAAATCAAATACAAGTCATTGGATTCAGACCATTTGATCAGACAGTATTTTTTTTCAGTGATTTTTGTTTGTGTTTGTTTTGTTTTTCATTATTATTCTGTTTGACAGGTAAAAGTATCCATCTCGTTTTTTTTTTTTTGTAATCCAATTGGAAACTTTTACATTATACAACACATGATGATGATGACTATGACTATGTTTTTTTAATAACTAACTATCATTTTGGCCATCCACCTTCTCCAATTACAAGTGAAGTGAACAAAAAAAATTCCAAAGTTTTCCATAGAATTTTTTTTTTTGTTTTTCATTTTTAGCTGAAACAGCAAGATTTTATCGTTTTCTCTCGTTCTCAATGTTTTTACTTTACCATCCAGATATAATTGGATACGATGACGATGACGATGATGTCGATTTGAGATTGGACTGTGATTGAATATCTTCACTCTGTGTGTCTGTGTGTGTGTACGATCATTTTTTTAGATCACATTTTAGTCTCTTCCCCTTCCCCTTCCACTCCCCACAGAAAAACTCGCAAAACCTTGATGATGATGAAAAATTTATAACTTGTTTGTTAGAAAAAATATTTTTCCATCCATAGATAACATGTTAACACGCCCGATTTGTATACAATCATGTTGTTGTTATTTGTTATTTGTCCATTTCGAAATTCTTTTTTTTTGCCAAATAATTTGAAATTTACGACCGGAAACACTGTCATCGATCACAACAATACAAACACACACACACACACACACACACATTGTTGTCAATTTGTTTTTTTTATTTATTTCCATTTTCTTAATTTCTCATTCGGCCAAACAAATAACGCTGTGTGTTTTTTTTTTTCTTGTCATTTCTCATTATAATTAGCTTATAACTTGACTGTTTTTTTTCATTTCATCATTTGAGATCTCTCAGATATTTATGATTCAATAATTTATTCAATTCAACCATTCGTATCGAATCATCATAACATATTTATAGTGATCTTGACTTGATCTAGATTTTCTTCAAGTCAAGATAATAATAAATTTTTTTTTGTCCCTTTGGACAAGCCATTTGAAAGTAAAAAAAAAATAAATTTATTGTCATTACTTTATGGACTACCATCATCACCACCATCATTATTATCATTATCATCATACATAAATGAAACGCCCATGATTACTGTAATTAGATATAGGTTATAATATTATATAACAACTGTATTTCATTTTTTTTTTTTTTTTTTTTCTTTTCTTTTTTCACCGGCAATGACTTTATTTATGACCCAGTAAGTATATATTATATATTAATGGCATTATATGACAAACAGAATGCAAAAAAAAACCAATCGATTCGAATATGAATAAATGATATCATTGTTGTTGTCGAATATTTGGAGAAACGAATGAAAAGAAAAATGAAATAGTTTCCGGATCATACTTGAAAATCAAAAATAGAATACGAACCAAGACTGTCCGGAAATGTTCCAAACATGAACCATTTGTCTATGAAACTTTCTCTCTATCTCTTTGTATGACAGATGTCAATCGATTCGTCACTACAATAGATCCATTGCTCAATAACGATACTTTTTCATCAAACTTGAACAAAAACACACACACACACACACACTAAATGATCAACGAAAAAAAAAATTGTTCGTGAGCTAATTCTCCGTCCAAAATATAGTGTAGTGTGACCGGATAATTTTTTTTTTCAAAATTATCTTCAATTGTAATTTAATGGTCCATTTTTTTCCATGGGTTCCAAGTTGACTATATATAATATACACATGGCATGACTTTTCGTTTTGCATAAAACAAAGTTTGTTATGGCCAGAATTTTTTTTTCTTCTCTTTGTTTTGACAGTCGATCCAATTAATTGCTACCTTGTTTAGCATATATACATTGAAGAATCTAGAATTGTATTACCATTTGTCAATGGTCGTTTTTCATTTCGTCTTTCGTATAATGATGATGACAATAATGATTGATGGATTACTTTTCTATAGTGAATCAAAATAGAGACAAAAAAAATAACCTGGCCCCTGTACACTATGAAGATTGTCATTACGAGAGTTACGACAAAAAAAAAGAAAATCGAGTTCAATCGATCCATGAGAAGTGAAAATATAAAAATTTTTCGTCCAAACCAGAGAAAAAAAAATGGGAGTTGTCCCAAAGGACATCGACAGCAACAACAACATATAATATATATTGATTTTGTGAATGAATGATCGCAAAAAGGCTATTATTTTTCATCAATTTTTTTCTCTTTTTTTTTGTTTTCATTCATTCTAGTTTTACTTTTTTTTCATTTCATTCAACTCAACTCTCCTATATGGATTTCGACTACGTTAAATTTGACTGACATGTTGGCATGGGAAAATTGGATTTCATGGCTAAAAAAAAAGTAATGGTCGCTCTCTCTCTCTCGGTTCCTTTTTCTCTATAGGATTCCATTATGTGATCATCACTCATGAATCTCTGTGCGTGTGTGTGTGTGTGTGTGTGTGTGTGTGTGTGTGTGTGACAAATCCTTTTTACCTCAAATTTTTTTTCATTTTCATGAAAAAAAGTGACATTTTTTTTGTCGACAGGAGAAAATCTGATAATGATGATGATAATAAGAGAATCGTAAAATTTTTAAAAATTTCTCATTGACAAGTTGAAAATTTTGAATTGTAATTGGAAAAAAATAAATCCAAACTTTTGAAAAATTGTTTGTTTGTTATCATCATTAGTGTATATGTTTTTGGTTATAATGTCCAGTTTTTTTTCGATTTTTTGTTGTTAAATGATGGTGATCGAATCATCATCGAATGGATAGAAAGATGGACAAAACACTAATGATTTTTGTTGACTTGATTCATTAGTTGGAATTTATCGCATCGTTATTATGTAACTAAATGACAATGTGTTGATTTAATTTGAAG